GTCAAGGCGAAGCCTAGGTGACAAGGCATCGGATTATATTTGATTGGATAGAGGTGGATCCATATGCAATCCAATTATAAATGGATCAAATTCAGGTCACTCTTGACATGATCTAATTTGAATTTGAATTTAGACACATAGTTGTCAAGGCGAAGCCTAGGTGACAAGGCGCTGCCCTTGGAGGCTCGCCTCGCCTAATCGCCAAGAAGTTTTGGACATTGTGTAATACTTTTATGGTCTTAATTTTTTGAGATTATAATTACAAAATAGACATTATTAAACTAAAATGTTCATTTTGTGTATTCACATACTAATCTCTTTTAGGACTTAAACTAAAATATAAATTTTAGGATTTAATCAACACAAACATTGCTGCATACTTTATTTAATCCTCAAAGACTTCAAAATCTGGACCAGTAAGGAAGAACTTAAAAGTGTGTCTAATCAACATATCTTCTTGCTAAATACTTAATTTATCTTCTTCTTCTTCCACTTTTTATTTTCTTCTTTTCCTATAACAAAATAGGGGTTCAGCGAGCCCCCATATTTTTTGGATTTTCTTTTCTTTCTTCTTTTTCTTATGAGTATGTCAATTTTCTATACTTTAACATTAAATTTATACTTTTCTAATGAAAATTGTGGATAACCATTAAGGAAATATGGTTATGGAACCTAGGGAACTACCCTAGGTACTTTAAAAAAATCAATTGCCTAGGCAACACCTAGGCGACTAGGCGACAAGGCACCCCTGCCGCCTAGCCTTGCCTTTGCACCTTGAAAACTATCTTTAGACAATCAAATACCATTTACAGCCCTACTTCAACCCTTGTCCATTTAAACTTGACTCTTTTGAAAACCCTCTACCCTATACTTACATCCAATCCTTTCTACAAAGATAACCAATCATCTTATCTTAGGTTACTTTGCCTCATCTTGTCACCCGTAGGAGCTAGTCCTAGGTTATCAAAATGCACCTATTTCTAATCTTATCCTTCAATCCTTTCTAGTATTGAATGTCCATTAAGTGTCATCTGCTAAGATCTTCCTTCTGATTTAATGGTTAGCATTGATAATTATAACATTATGTAGGAGAATGTACCAAACAAACATTATTATCAAAAAAAAAGAATGTACCAAACATTACTAGTTCTTTTAAACCTTTTTATTTTTTTTTTTCTTTTTCAGGAAAAGGTAAGGTCTTTTAAATCCCTTTAACTGCTTCTGTCAGATGTAATGAAATATTCTGAGATGATTAAAAAAAAGGATGAAACAATGAAGTATTATGGATAAAAAATAATGAAACAGTGAGGCATGAAGATGCTCTAAGAAGGGTTTACAAATGTCAGCATACTTCCTAACATTCCCATGACATACTTCCATTTCCATGAGACCGACAAAAATATTACTGGAACGAACACATTCCTCTTGTGAAAACTACCAGTACCATGTGGAAGAGTACATGAGTTGGTATTATAACATGAAGAATTGGCAATAATGGAGATGATGACAACTTTGTGCCAGCTCAAAATTCTTTCTGAATGTGATGTTAATTCTTAGTTTCCATTTGTGCAATAGATTATTTGATTGATCTATTAGAACCATTTGCACATTTTGTGAGTTCAAATTTTGCTTGAGCTTACTCTATTATGTAGTTTAACCTTAGCTTCTTTGTTTTGATTGATGGTTGAGAACAAGATAGTAATCTGAAAGAGTGTATCTATGTCTCTTTTATTCATAAAATACCGTTGTATATTTCCATTTATTTCACAATGTTTCCATCGCATTCATAATTTCTACAATAATTTTCATACAACATTTCTAACATGTTAATGGACATATTCCCACCAAGACCAATATTTCATAATTTCAAATGTCTGAGCCGTAGCACATATAAAAAATTTAAGTTCAACCCGTTACACATAAAGCTAAAACAACCATTGGAGAGAGAGAGAGAGAGACTTTTAAACTAAAACATTTACAAATAAGAATAAAACGACACAGAAAAAAAAAAAACAGTATAAAAGCATTCAAGAATCAGTAGGAAACTTCTATCCACATAAAGTAGTTCATATTCATACCTTGCTCATGGAATCATCAGAATCTTCTGTACAACACTTCTTACAATCTGACACCAATTCTGCACATTAAAGCAAATGTATAAAATAATTTGTGGAATTGTTTAATTATGTTTTTACATATCAACGAGAAACCAAATCAAGAGGTATGACCACAAAATATTTCTCTTGAGAGAAGCAAAGAAAATAGTGAAGTTCTTCTATTAGATCCCCCCAAGTGGAATCATCTATCCCTAATAACTGTGGAGTTCCTTTCAAAGGAGGTTTAACATCCCATCCTAAAGAAAAACCCGAAGATAAAAATAGATCATTTGTTAATGATGCTAGTATCACTCAACCCAATAGGCAATATTTTCAAACTCAAACTTACTAGGCACATCTGTGAGATACAGAGAAAGGGTCTTCTCTTTTGTAGGTTATCCATAGTGTTAACTTTCCCATGGCACACTTCCCAACATAAAGCCATAACCTTAGGGGGAACTAGCCTACACCAGACTTCTTTGAAAGGGAAAACCTGTTGAGAGGGCGAGTTGCAAAGTGACTTAGAATGGAATGGGATTCCAACTCAGCACCTTTTAAGATTTTGAGAAGAGTTGCTCTTTGGAGAGCACAATGGAGTTATTGTCTATCGTTGGCACTGATGAAAATTTGACTCCACGAGAAATTTGGTTCTTAAAAAGAAACAGTTTGAAAAGGTTCAATTGTCCGAAGCGAAATGAATTTCTAGATTCAAGGATTTATCAACATCAAGTTAGTTGGTTGACACCAACGAGTAAAATCTCCTTGTGCTTCAAGACCCCATAGTAATAGTAGTAACAAGGAATGTGCTAAACTATTAACAAGAGTAAAAACTGCGGTGATTAAGAAATTGCAACCTTCCAAATAGGAACTAGCCAATCCATGGGCATACCATGAAGTTACAAAGGTTGTACCWGTGAACCAACCTCCTAAAGCAGGAAAAAAAGAAAAAGAAAAAGAAAAAAACTTTTGGATGAGGGGCCTAAATCCTCTTATCTGGCTTCGAGAGCTCCAACCAAACCTTTTCAAGGAGACAAAGCAGATTAGACAAACACTGGATTTCGTTATCCCTTAACCCTCTACGGAAACCAAAATCCCAAGTCAAGGCCGATGGGTTTAACATGGAAGGAATTTTGAAATCACCTCATTTTTATACAAAGAAACAGAGAACAATGATGGAAAAAGGTCTTTAAAAGGAAGATCCCCTGCCCAAATATCTTCTCAAAACCGAACAAAATTACCAGAGTCAACATCATAACTGACGAACTGCGGGAGAATTTTGTGAATTTCCTTCCATGGAGTTGCCATATTAGCCCCCTTTGATGCACCAACATCCCATCCGTTCTCTGGGCACCCATGAATACTCTTCACCACATCACGCAAAAGCCTCTCTTGCTCTAGGGGCCACCTCCACAACCACTTCCCCAACAATGCCAGATTCTTTTTTACCACATTTCCTAGGCCTAATCCCCCTTCATCTTTGCTTCTACCCACAATCACCCATCTGATTAAATGATCTTTTTTACCCTCTCCCGATTCCCAAAGAAAGTCTCTCATCAATTCTTCGCTTCCCTAAGCAATATCATAAAGACAAAGACATAATAGGTAGGTAGATTCGTGAGGGTAGCTCTTATCAAGGTGATCCACCCAATGAGATATAATTCTTTTTCCACAAAGCTAACCTCTTTTCAAATTTCTCTATGACTAGAGTCCAGAACCTACTCTCCCTAGGATTTGCCCCTAATGGAAGCCCTAAATAGGGCATAGGCCAAGAGGATATAGTACACTCAAGACAACTTGCAATAGCCTCAATATCCTACATCTCCAAGTTGACCCCCACTATGCAGCTCTTTTCTAAGTTGATTTTCAAATGGGAGATTTCTTCAAAAGTTTTATTCAACTCCTTTAGGTTTCCCACCTTCTCACTATAGCCTCCATTACAGAAAATCATCAAGTCACCTACAAACTGAAGATGGGTCACCGGAATTTGGTTTCTGCCTATTTTCCATCCTTTTATAATCTCTTCCCTATCAGCTCTAATGATAATACAACTGAGGACATCGGCTGCCAAAGTAAAGAGGAAAGGTGATAGAGGATCCCCTTGTCTTAAACCCCTACCAAGTGGAAAAAAAATCCCTTGCCACCCCACTTACCAAGATGGAATAATGACAATTTCTAACACACCCAACCATCCAACTACACCTTTCCCCAAACCCACACTTCCTCAAAACCTCCATTAGAAACTGCCAGTCCACCAAATCATAAGCTTTCTCAAGGTCTAGCTTACAAACAAAGCATCTTTGCTTGGCTCTCTTTATCTCCTCCACACATTCATTTGCAATCAAAATCTGATCAACTATTTGTCGTCCTCGAATGAAAGCCCCTTGTGCCTGACTAATGATGGAGGGGAGGGATTCTTTAATCCTCAAAGAAAGAACCTTGGCCAGAATTTTATAAATACTTGTCATCAAGCTAATCGGTTTAAAGTCTTTAGGATGGATTGCATCAGATTTCTTTGGGATTAGCACCAAAAAAAGTAGCATTAATGCCTCGACTAACTAAGTGTTGATCTACAAACTCCTTAAAGACATCACACAGATCATCTTTACCAACGATCTTGGTAAAATGCTATAGTGAATCCATCTAGGCTTGGAGCTTTCGATCTATCCATTAGGAACATCGTGTGTTTAATCTCTTCTTCCTCAAAATTCTTTTCCAGCCACCTCATCTTTTCTTCATCCATTCTTGGCCAATCTATCCCTTCTATTTCTCTCCTTTCATTCAGGGGTCTATTACAAATCGGTTTCAAGTGGTCCACAAACTTCCTGGCAATATACTCCTAATTATTGAACACCTCCCCTCCAATCTCTAGCTTAGACACAAAATTCTTCTCCTCCTCCCATTAGCCACATCATGAAAAAACTTGGTATTTCCATCACCTTCCTTAATCCACTTGTGCCTCGATTTTTGTCTCCAACTCGTTTCCTCTCTCAGTAGTACCTCTTCCAGGTCCTTTTTTAATTGTCTCCTCTATTCTATATCATTCCTCAGGCAAACCATTTTGAGATTCTTTCTCATCCAACTCTTCTATCCTAGAACTTAGACTCACTTTTTCTTCTTCAATTCCTCCAAATTGATCCTTATTCCACTCTTTTATTTTGGATCTTAGCCTCTACATGTATTTCTTCATGCCATTTCTCGATTTTGGTGAATGGAGTAGCTAGAGATTTCTTCCTGCTAAAAGGGGCCTTAGACAAGGAGATCCTCTACCCCGCTTTCTTTTTACCTAAGTAATGATGTCCTGAGTGAAATGATTGTAAGGGCATATGCTAATAACATGATTACATGATGGAGAGTTGGAAGGGAGGAAGTGGTGGTTACACATCTACAATTTGCAGATGATATTATTTTGTTTTGTGAGGGGAAAGAAGAAGAGATTTATCAATAAAAAAAAGAAAGAAAGAAAGAAGAGTTTGTGAACCTAAAAAGGACAGTGCATAAATTGGGTTAAGAGTTGTGTGGTAGGGGTAAATTTAGGTAGTGAGGAGGTGGATATGCTAACGAGACTCTTGGGGTGTGAGGTGGGGGAATGGCCATTACAATAACCTAGGACTACCATTGGGAGGAAATTCAAAGATAGAGAGCTTCTGGTATCTAATGATTGAGAGATTTACAAAGAAACTTGTAAACTGGAAAAGGAACTACATTTCCCTGGGAGGTAGGGTAACTCTAATTAAATCAACATTGACTAACTTACCTGTGTATTTCCTATCTACCTTCAAGGTATCAGTGAAAGTGGAAAACAAGTTAGAGAATATTATGAAGGACTTCCTTTTGGGAACCAGAAGACTCTAAGAAGGATCACCTAGTGAAGTAGGAGGTAGTTTCTATAAGTAGAGATGAAGAGGCCTAGGGATGGGAAATGTCAGGATGAGAAACACGGCATTATTGGGAAATGGCTATAGAGGTGGCCGTTGGAATAGGATAGACTATGGATAGAGTGATTGGTAGCATACATAGTTTGGCAAACAATGGTTGGGATGCGGGAGTTGATCCTAGGGTTGGAGAGAGTCCTTCCTTACTTTAAACTTGATGCATATGCAGGAAACAAAGTATTGTTTTCGGAAGATGTTTGGGTTGGAAAGTGTCCCCTTAGTGATATTTTCCCTACTATTTATTCGTTGTCAAAAAATAAAAGAAAAGTGATCTCCTCAATTTTTATTGATAATCCCTGGAACTTGGGATTGAGGAGAGGTCTAAGGGAGTTGGAAATGGCAATGGTGGATGAACTAGTTACCCTTTTAGGGTCGACCTTTTTGGATCAGTCTTGTGTGGATAATAGAATTTGGAAAACTCCCCCATCTAGTGTTTTCACTTGTTCCTCTTTCTTTAATGACCTCATTCAATCAAATAACCTTGCAAGGAACTTTTCATCAAAGGAGGTATGGTGTAGCCTTTTACCTCCAAAAATTCGGGCTTCTTGTTGGGAGGTGGTTCTTCAAAAAATCAATACTCCGGATGTGTTGCAAAGAAAAAGGCCAAATTTATGCCTTTCACCCCATGTTTGTAGCCTCTGCTTAGGTTCTAGTGAGACAACCACACACCTATTAATACCTTGTCCTTTTGTGCACTTTATTTGGTCCTGGTTCTCCTCTCTATTTGGTTGCAGGTGGACACCTCCCCCGGATGTGGTAAGCCTTTTTAACCCAAGCTTCTTTGGGCAACTAAAGAAACGTGGTAGATTTATGTGGAGAGCCACAAGAGCATCTATACTCTAGTTAGTTTGGGAAGAAAGAAACAACAGGATCTTTAAAGGAGTGGAGAAATCCAAGGAGGCAACTATAGAAAGGATAACCGTTATGACTATCCATTGGTTGAAAACTCTACATTTCTTTAAAGATTTCCCAACTAAGGACATATTTAGGAATTAGGGAGTGGTGGCATCTATAATATCCATAAAACCTATTGTGTAGGAACTATGGTCCCCTACAAGACAACAAAGAATAAAGTTGAACTCTAATGGGAGCTCTAGAGGTAACCCAGG